GCGGGCGCACAGGCACAAAACTTTTTTATAATTTGTGTCACTAGTCGAATCTGCAAAAGAATAAATGTTCTCATGCAAATGTGGGATGGCCTCGATTGTTTTTGAACTCACTGTGACCTACTTATTTCACTATTAATGAGACCCCTTATTTTGCCCGGCAATGGATCCCTTAAAGAAGAAAACGACGAGCACATTATTGATTCCGGTCAAGGACTGGAGGGCAATTCCATTCCGCCGCGTGGTGTCTTCAAGCAGCCGTTCTGACGACACGGGGCGGGATCCCCTGGCCGATCCGAAGGCCGCTGGAGGGATGCAGCGCATCAGATTGGCCCTCCGCCTGATGCGGCAGGCCTTCTGACCCGCGCAGAAGCAGCTGACTCCGGATCGACCCAGAAATCCCCAGTGACCCAACAACATTTCTGCTGATCGCGGTAGGTGGTCAGATAATGGGCACATATATCCGAATTCGGCTTAACGGGCCCACGCTGGAGTTGAGGCCCTTTACAGTATGCATAGAAAACCCTAATACGAGGGGCCAGATAGAAGCCATCTGGCTGATATTTCAGGCCATGGCAATACGGGTGGGGCACAGGGTTCGAGTCCAGTCGGGCGCTTGATCTTTGGTCCCGAGGGTCCCTCCGACCCCTCTCCGGACCTCTTCAAGCAATGTCCGTGACCGATTAGGGACCACTAGCCGAGATTAGACCCCCTGTTATGCACTGTGGGACATTGACTGCCAAAGGGCCGCAACAACTGTTTCAGGGACACAGACGAATGCAAATCGTGGCCACCGGTCTTGCTCCTGCATGGAAAATTGGCCCCAAAGGCTTAGACTGACAGGAAGCCAACTATTCAATGTTAGTGGTCTCTGGACGAGTTAGACAACTGCATTATCTCAATGGGTCCTTGAATGGTACAAGAGGACTTCTGACTAATATTTCAGACCACGACCCTACGGCCACAACTATTTATGTGACCTACAGCCAATCTTTCGGGCCCTTATGCCCTCCAACCGGGCGTTCGACAGGCTGTTCCGCTGGGCCGCCCTGGCCCTTGTCGGGGGTTATTGAACAATGCCCTAAGTTGCCCCGGGGCCATCTGCGGGCACAGGGCCTTTTGTAAGGCGCTGTGGGCCACTGCCAGATACAGGGGCACCGACCAGTGTTAATCTCCGGCTCTGACTTGTAGCTGATTAGGAAGTAGGCCCTCAGGTCCATACCGATACGGAGCGGACTGTGCGGCACTGGTGGTGCCTAACCAACATATAGATCCATACCGACTCAAGGCGTCCCTGATCGGCGCAAGAAACCCTGTGACTGTTATTTGAGGGTCCGTCCCCGCAGACCGGAGCCCCTGAATAAAACTCAGACCAGTCTTTGTCTCTTGACCCTCAAATCGAGCCTTCGATTGTCTGACCCGATGGATCCTTCAGGCTCTTCAGGCCTCCTCGAACACTGCCTCTGACTGACTTGGGGCGCTTTGCCAGCACAGGGTCTCCCTTAGGCGCTGTCGGGCCCGACCAATGTAAATCGCTGGCTACGGTTTTGTCCCTGCTTGGAAATGGGCCCTCAGGCCCATGTCGATACGGAGCTTAATAACGGAGCAAATGTGCGTTACTGATGGCGTCTGACCGACAGATGGGCCATTAATCGACTCAGGGGCCCTATATCATGCGCGCAAGTCCCTTTTGGCTGGTATTGGAGTGCCCGGTCCTGCAGGTTCGAGATCCCTGAATACGACCTACGGCCGGGATTTCGAGCCCTTTGGGCCCTCAAATCAGCGCCCCTAGTCGTAGGTCCCGAGGGGCTGAAGGGGCCCACGGAACCTAGGGGGGCGACGCGTGACCTCAGTGCCAACCTCCTCCGCCCCTCTCCCTGCGTCACTGTTTCAGAAGCAGAAGCAGAAACCGATTCTAGAGCTTCAAAATGTTACCAAATCATCAAAATATTGGTGGCAGAAAAGAACTTCGACTACTGCTACGCTGTGCTTCGACTTCGACTGGGCTACCAACATGTTCTGCGGGGCGAGGGGGGCCAACGTGGGTCTTCTCCCGATTAGTGATAGCTCATTCTGGGCTAAAGATAACATCATCACATTCCAGACATTTGTATGTTTGAAAGGGAATATTCTCAAGGTTAAAAGCAAAAATGTATCCTTCACGGACTTGATCTGTGATTTGTCTAGCATGAGGAACTGACACTTCCGAGACCCAACGTGAGCCATTTTTCAGCCTATCCAGACGTGGGTGTATCCCGGTTCTGAAAAATGAGAGGTGCCTTTTCGGCACATGATATGCTTACTGTGTCAGCCTACAGTGGATAGTCCGACGATTTAGAAGGGCCTTTTTGAGTCTGCAATGACTCTTTCCATATCTAAAAGGGCCCTTTCTGAGCCTACCATGGGCCCCTTCCTAACCGAAAATGTGCCGTTTCTTTGTCTACGATGGGTCTTTCCTGATAGGAGAAAGATAATTTACAGGCCTAAACTTACGTGGGCGTTTTTTTTTACCTGGAAATGGATTATTTCCGGACCCGAGATGGGTCCATCATAAGTTGAAGGCGGGGCGCAGGTCGGGGGGGGGGGGAGGGGGCAACGGGGGCACACATGTCTCCCCTTTGGTTCAGACGTGCCATTAGAGCTCCTCGGGACCGACGATCAAGGACCCGACTAGCGGGCCCGAAAAGTTGGCCAGATGCTGTATCAAGGAATCCCGGCCCACAAGCATCCATCGGAGGGCCTTCTGCACCGATTGGGGGCCCCTGGGGGCAACGAAGGCTCGCGAGCCGATTCGCCATCACGAATTTCAAACAGTCTGCCCTGTAGCGACCCAGAACCCATTTTCAAAGCCGGGACTATCCTGGGGCCCGCGATGGTCATTCAGAGGACTCTGCATTGGTCGAGATCCCTGTGGCAATGGGGCACCACTGTGTTGGTCAAGAGACCCACAATGCGTCTAACAGTGGACCCTGTATTGATGGCAAGAGCCCCGAGTCGGCTATGGTTCCGTTTTCTCAACAGGGACAGGAAGGTGACCCCGAATGTCAGGAAACGTCTTTAAGTCGACCGGACTCGCTGGTAATAAAAGGAGATAGAATAAACAGCAATGAAAAACGGCAAATGGCAATGAAAGGGTTCATAATGAGACAGTGAAAGGGTCCTGTGTCAGGCACGGGCCCAAAAATGAACGTGGCCGTGGAGCTTCACCCGTTTTGATCAGGGGCCGACAAAGCGAACAGGCATCATCCGCCAATTATTAGACCCCCTGTGTCGGTGAGCGATACTTTGGCGTCTGTGGGGGGCGATACTATGACGTCCACGGCCCTTGCGTCCATCCGAGATAAATTGCTCCGGTCTGAGGGCCTTTCGCGTCAGGGAGGGGACCGATATATGATACATGATACATCCCCTGCGGCCCTCCTGATTGACCAGGGGGCCCCGGCCAGCTGTGCCTCCAGAATAGAAGCCGGCAGGTATCCCGGGTTACGGGTTGAGTGGAAATCCCTTCTAACCCCTGACCGGGAAAGGCAATGGGGCCTTCCAGTGCTTTATTTACGCGGCTCCCTGTGCGTGAAAGGTAAGGGGTCCGCTTAATGTTAAATCCACTGGTCCCCTCAACGAACACATTCGTCAGCATGATGATGACCAATGTAGAACTCTTGGGCCCTCGAAATAACATGACCAAATCCGGTGATATTTTGGGATGCCTTTTCACCGGGAACCCTTTATCAAGCTGCATGCCATCTCCACCAGCTATTACCAAAACTTTGGCCTCTCCCCTTGCATAAGATGGAAGTTGTGGGACCTGAGATAGACTTTTTTCCGGGCTGCAGTATTTAGGTGGGCCTTTTCCGAGCCTGAGATGCCACGTTCTCCGTCTAAAACGTGTTATTTCACATGATTTAAGAAGGGTCCTACTTGAATATACCATGGGCCCTTTTCGGACCTGAGAGGACCCTTTCTGTGCTCGGGACCTTTTAAGTCCACAAAGGGGCCTTTTTCGGGCAGGAAAAGGGCCCTCCTCGTGTCTGAAACTGTTATAGGGGTCTCTCGCCTTGAAATTGGTCGTTCCCCGACTAGAGATGGGCTCTCTATGCTTACTGAGGTGACCCAAAATAAACGAACCTCCTCCTTGAATCAGTCGGGGCTCCCATTTGGGCCACCTTTAAACATGGGGAAAGATTGGTCTAGCCCTCACCTCATACATGAGGGACAGTTTGCCGGCGGATACACCGTCCACTGGCTTTCTGAGCCTACGAATGGGAGCACTCCAGACCAGAGGTTGGCCCTTCCCAGCCCAGAAAGTGAGACAGGTCTTTTCTGAGTCTTTCGGAAGTTCTCTTCCTTCCTGTTCTTCTTTCCGTTCCTTCCGGATCTTTTTAGAGTCTTTTTTTTCACAAGTCTTTCGGTATTGATTTTTACCTTCCTTTGCCGAAGCACTCGCGATTACCAGAACTGCTATCTCGCATGCCTTATGCTCATGCTAAATAGTAAACATGACAAAAAATACAATAGTGATATTTTGATATATAGGAATATAATGTGCAGTATGTGAACTTACGAAATAATGAAAATAGCAAGACGCCTGACGTATATTTTGATATGACGTGTATATATATATATATATATATATATATATATATATATATATATATATGACGAATAGTGACATTTTGATAGGAATATAATGTGCAATATGTGAAATTACAAAATAATAAAAATAGCAAGACGCCTGGCGCATTCAATAAAATTAAAATGGAACTTGCTGCGCGAAGTTACACGTCTGGACATGAAGTTTCGCTGCTAGGTAATGGTTCTCGCTTACATTTCTTGACGAAACACCTGCAAACTTTGACCCAGCCAAGATAACCCTAACTGCCTCCTAAGTCACATTTGGCAGATAGTTCGTGAGCGCGGGCACAGCGCATGCGACGTAGATGGGAATGGGGCCGTGCTGCTGTGTGCACTGCTCAACCTCGCTCTGACCTGCGCCTCCTGGGCAGTGACGGTCGGCAAGGTGGAGATCGAGGAGCTGCACGTGCCGAGGTACGTGCTCCGCGGCCGGGATGTGCGCCTGGCCTGCCAGTACACTGCGCTCGGTACGCGGCTGTACGCCGTCAAGTGGTACAAGGACAAGGCCGAGTTCTACCGCTTCCTGCCGCAGAACGACCCGCCGCAGAAGACGTTCACCGTAACCGGCTTTACGGTCGACGTGAGTGACGACGGGCACTCGCACCAGCCAGTGTCGACAGATTGCACAGGCTGTTGATGTTGGCGATGTGTTGTTTTTCTGTGGTAGCCCTCGTTCTTGGTTGTTCCAAAGTGTTTGTTATTTTATGCCCAATATTTTGCCTCCGAAGCCCGACTCTGAATAAACCTGCCTGGTAAGAAGCCGGCTCTGAATAGGAAGTCTAAAACAAACCGACCGAAATAACCACAGTCTGCACAGGGCATGCTGTAACCGGCCCTACTGGAACGGCTTCACACGTGCAGTCGCGTGGCAAGCGTTCCAGGGTTTAACTGGCGGGCATAATGGGTACCGTAATGCGGACTCAGCCGAACTTGTCTCGGCACGCATCTGCTCAATCATCAAGTGAGGTATGGATCTCGACAGCTGTGCCATGTGGGTGGCGCGACTTATTGAAGTATGACTACAAAAACAGATGTTTAACTTGACTGGTAACTTGACCGGTAGTTGAGGCAATATGGAACCATGAACCATCCCAGAAAATGACACAAAATCGAACTTCCACAGTGGCTGAAAGGGTCTCCGGCATGCATCGGTCATCTTGGGCCCATAAGAGGGACCAATCGAGCATAGATTACGGGCCATCTATGCTCGATTGAATGTTCCTATGCTCTAAACTTTTTGTTCCTTTACTAAGTTTTACTCATGCGCGTGTTTTAAAGGTGGGGTGCCAGCAATGACTACCATCTGGCCCTCCCCCACCTTAAGTCATGGAATTGTCTTGTCACTAAAAGACACAACACCACGAACAGATTACAAGTCGGGGCCGATGTCCTGTGTCGGGGCTGCTGACAACTACATCAGGGATGGTAAAAGTGTATGTCATGTCGCTGACAGAATTTATGCAAGCAAAATTGTCGCTAACAGCGTGACGCGATACCATGTGCAAGAAATGGCAACGACGTCCATGCCCAGCAGTGTAATCAGATATCGGTGTATCACCGAAAGCCTCTTTTATCGCCGCAACTTGTCATATCATGCACGCCACCGAATCGTCAGTTACACAATGTCGCTCAACTAATGCCAGGATAGCTGTGCCTGGGAAGAACGCAAGCACACCGGCCTTACTCAACGGGACTGTTCAATCACAAAGGCAGTCTTCTTCCGCCCTCGGGACTTGCCGTGGGCTCACGCTTAAGGTTGATCTACGGCTGGATTTGCCATCCTCGAGCGCGAAAAAAACGGCGAGGGACCTCGGCAGCCAGGACCGCTGAATGCATGACAAAATTACAACCGTCGGCAGATTGAACTTGGCGATGGCGTCGAACATACGGGCCCAGTCGAGGCCATGTGCCCTTACGGAAATCACGTGTGCGCTTTGAGCCCCATCCCAACCATCTTCATACTGTCTACCAAATCCTACGCATGCTCCAAGCTTGGCGCGACATGTGTTGCCTGGTGGGCGCCTTGCGATGCGCCACAGCATTCCATACATACAGGTTTAAACTGGGTTTTGCTAGAAGACGGTTGTTTCGGGGTCACAGAAAGATGGGATCACGGAACTGTTTAAGGAGAACAAGCACCGGTTGCTTCGTATCTTTGTCACGCTCAGCAAAACCAGGAACAAAAAAAAAACAGAAAACAATTATTTACGGCTGCAGCCCAACATTAGACGACTGTTACATTGTTTGGGGGACCGAAAGCACCAGAAATTCCGGGCTCTGGCTTAATGTTTTACCGCCGTTTGAACAATGAAATGACATGGGGTCCCACCAACACAACACAAACCTTGCTACCGCCGATCCTAGTCCTCCCTGCTGCCATTTTTATGCAGAAGCCTAACAGCTCGCTTGTTGATTTGGACGCGCTGGAGGCGCGAAATCTTTAGTTTTGTTGAACTCGTGTGCCTGTCCCTATCTGGGCCATAGTCTGAAGATGTGTTCCAATTTCACGAAAATTAAGCCGCACATAAATTCGTAACTGAGCATTGGCATGCTCTGCCCTTTTGAGCCGCGCTTCAGTATGTTCTCCGCGCAGAATGTGTTGAGGTTTTTCATAACACGTGACAAACAGCAACTCCGTTTAAAACAGCAGAATTAAATCCAACTACTGGAAAAAAGAATTTGATCGTCAATGATAACCCTTAAGATTTTCTAAGAGACCCACAAGAGAGCTCTGAGCTCTGAGCCGCTAAGCGCTCTGTCTGACCGCACTCGGATTTTACACGCCGATCCGGGACCCCAGCCTTTCGGCACGCTTTTACGCAGGCGGATATCTTGAAAGGAATGTTCCACATTCGAAGATATTGAGATCATCAGCAAATATGGTGGAAAAGGCTTACTTGTAACAACTGGTGCAGCTTTCAAGGCTCAAAACAACACTAAGTAGCGAAATTTCAGGTTGCAAAAATGCGCCCCGTTGCGTCATCGTTTCATGGTATCATGGAATCGTTTTATGACGACAGCAAAGCCTGGCAGCATCTGGCAGCCAGACCTAAAGAATACCTTCGAAACGCATGAAAGCTAACGTCAGTCGGCCATTCTCGTTGCGCGGGCGCTGTGTCCGGTGGCGGATAAGTGAATGACTTTTTGTGGATTTTTGTCTTGGTATTGGTCGTAAGGAAGGCTTTGGCGGGCCGTTTGACGTACGCAACGTACCGACCGCCAGCTTTCATGGCACATTATTAATATCAAAGCACGACATGCTGTGAAAACTGTCATGTAGTGTCACGAATATCTAGCCGAAACCTGCCAAGGACTGCTGAGAATTTAAATACTATATTGTTGACCTAGCCTTGCCTGCAGTGCTGTAGTCCTGGCATTTATATGACGTGATGTGCACATGAGTTACTTTCTTTATTATTTGTAACTGGAAATGGATCTGCATGCAAAAATTAATAAATATGTAACATTGTTCTGACTTGATTGCCGAAGCATTGTTATTGCTATGGCCGAGATAGTAAGGTTGAGCTACTAAGAATGTTGTTCTTGCTTAGGATTATTTATGCAATTACTAGTTAACACTGACATAACCGTTGTGGTGGAACGGCATTCTCGCTGGTGATAGTCCTTCCGCAGTGTTAAATCAGTTGTTACCAGTCATTCATAACTTATAGGCTGCAATCTCAAAGGCTTGACATGGAGTAGTCAAACATTGTGGTACATTGTGTTATGGCACGGGTCAAAAGTGTCATTGTGGCACTACATCAGTGTTACGCTGTGGCATGGCATAATGAGCAATGATACCGTTTTTGTAGAGCAATCCCTGCTGCTTTCTTAACTAATTCCAGCATGTAAAGATGGGTCAAGCGTTCATTCTTGCATTACCTCCTCATCTGACATATCACCGACCAATAACACATGGTACTATATACAAATCACTTTCAGCAGAGCACACAACCAATAAGTGACATCATTTGCTCAGCCTTTTTTGGGAATACACAAGATGTAGGTGAGCAAGATGCAGTGCGTCGTCTGCTTCCGCAGCCACCCGGCACGCTGCAGCCATCAGGCTGCTTCACTCAAACATATTGTCCACACAAGTAACACATGTAACACATGTATAACAAGAAAATAGTACACGTATTGAACTGACACTCTAAACACGCTGGCCTTGTCTACGGCTGGAGACATGACAAGTGTATGTAGTTATGGTTAGATGGGTGAAATGCGAGGAAGTGATGAAGCTGCCAGTGCACACAAGGCTCATGATAAAATGTTATTGAGAGCTATCCAAGAAACCAGCAGCAATACTTCTATACCTTTCTCAACAGTCAGCATCTCGCACAAGTTGCAGTTATTATGACATGGATGACTCGCAAGCAATTCTTGCCTGCATGCAAAATTGGCCAATACAGTAGATGTGCAACCATAATGATATAACACTATATTTTCAGCGCTCTTAAGAGAAAGGCAATTTTGCAAAGCCGCATCATGTGAGCTTATACCAAGCACGTGCATTAATGAGCTGCGCAGACCTGCCGCTACTGCCAAAACAAATTACTAATATAATGGCATGCAATGGATTAATTACACGCTGTTATACCTAACTAGGTTCAAAATGCTGTCAAGAGTACAATGAAGTAGCAAATTGCCTTTGTACCCCCTGTAACATGGATGCTAATGTTTCTTTCAGCTTGATGGCATCACTACCTTGTCATGTTCAAACGCAAACATAAAGATAGAGACAGGTTACGATATATCACATTGTATTGGGAGCCATTAGGCTTGAAGAATACCAAGACAATGCTCTCTCCCAGAAGTACAAACCTCGCGCACCCTCCTCATCATATCAAGATCAGTACACGCCACTGGCACGCACCACCAGTGACCACACTCATTTTGTCCTTCACTCTGCTCGCAGCAAAAACAGCCCTGCGTACACCTTCACAAGACCCCAGATTCTGCGGCTTACGAGGTCAGGAAAAATGGACGCCCCACTCCCGCACCGTAACCGCAGGATCTCTAGCCATGACATCAGTCTCCGCAAGGTGGTATTGACGGCTTTCAGTGGGGACCCTGAGCAGCCAGAAATAAATGTTAGTGACTGGAGAACTGCTTGGGAGCCAAAATGGTCCCTGAATGGCTAGATGGCTGGTCAGACCCCTTACGAGCAAAGTCCCCGAGCGGCAAGATGAGAACTAAGCACCTCCTGAGTGCCCAGAAAGTCTCCTAGACGGTCAGGGAATTCATTCAGCATCCAGAAGGGCCCTTGGGCGACGGAAGGGGCCTTCCAGTGTCCGAAAGCGCCCTGAGCAGTTAAGAAGATCCCAAGTGTCCTGAGGGATTTGAAGATGCCTAAAGTACTTCGGCGACGGAGCCCTCAATAGCCAGAGGAGTGTTTAGATGGCCAAAACGACCTAGTGTGATCAATTCAGGTCAATCTAGGCCGCCCCAGTCAGCCGTCACCAAAAAAGGTCTTTATGTTGTTAATCCACAACTTTGTCACGCAACACCTGCCATAAACAGAGAAATTGCAGAGAAGTTTGTGAACAGCTTCTCATCAGCCCGACAGCTCTTTCTGAA